TCAGCCGAATCCTCTCCAGAAGGAAGGATTTGATGTTCCCAAATCCAATTCCCAGCTGGAATTCCTTCCCRAAACCCCTCCCAAATCCYGATTCACTCACTCTCKGAGCAGGACACSCCGGCCCCGAAGCGTCCCCCTCCCCTGGGGCAGGACACGTGGGGCCCRTCGTGCCGGCAGTGGGACAGGGACATCTCGGTCCCCGAGCAGCGCACCCCGCTCATCACCACRTCATCGGCGCTGACCTCGCCGTGCCAGTACCACGTTTCCTGGGCGGAAAAAAATGGGGCAGGAAAAGGCATTTTGGATGTTCTTCGGGGTTTTGTGGCTCTTAGGGGGAAATTTATGGTCTAAAATGTGGGTTGTCCCTCTTGGGAAGAGCAGGGAAAGAGCCCACATTGCTCAGGAGGAGGATTTTGGAAAGGGGTGATGGACGAGGGAACTCAGGGAAGATTTGTCACCAAATCCTTAAAAATCCTTCAATCCCATCCAGGGCCACCCCAGGGACACCTTCCCTGTTCCAGGGTGCTCCAGCCTGGCCTGGGACACTCCCAGGGATCCACAGCTCCTCTGGGAATTCCATCCCAAAGCCTATCCCCACCCCAAAAGGAGGAATTCATTCCCAAAATCCCACCTAACCCTGCCCTCTGGCAGCGGGAAGCCATTCCCTGTGTCCCACCATTCCTGATAAAATCCCCTCTCTCCTCACCATCCCAATTTTACCAAACTCACAGGAACCACACACCGTGAACTCCCAAACCCCAAAACTTGGGAGAAAAAACTTTAAAAAAAAATAAAAAATCCCGTCAGATGTGTGAGTGCCCAGGCTGGGGGCTCGATTCCAGGAACAGAAATCCCCGGTGTCCCACGGCTCCCGAGGCTCGGGGAGGGCTGGGAGCACACAGGGCTGCCCTGTTCCGCACACTGGGGCTTTATACAGCACAAGGGCCTTCTCTGTCCCGAATTCCAGCAGCCTCAGCCCCAGGAAAAAATGTCTTTGCCTTGCTGGACTCTCAGGGCTGTGGGATAACCTTCCCCGAGCTCCTCCTGCTCCACATTCCCACATTCCCACCTGAATGGACTCAGGGTCCCTGCTGCTCAACCCCAAACCCAATTCTGAAATAACACTCCCCRAGCTCCTCCCGCTCCACATCCCCACCCCATTTAACTTTTGAGGTCCCTCCAGCTCAACCCCAAACCTCATTTTTGGAATAACCCACCCCAAGCTCCTCCTATTTCACATTCCCACCTCCACATCCATACCTGCATGGACCTCAGGGTCCCTCCTGCTCAACCCCAAACCCATTTTTGGAATAACACTCCCTGAGCTCTTCCTGCTCTACATTCCCACTCTGCATTCCCCCTCCACATCCCCAGCTCTGTGGCATCTGGACAATGAGATTTAACCTTTGGGGTCCCTCCAGCTAAACCCCAAACCTATTTTTGGAATAACCTTCCCCGAGCTCCTCCTGCTCCACATCTCCACCTCCACATTCCCACCTCCACATTCCCACCTCCACATTCCCACCTCCATGGCCACTGCACAATAAGATTTAACCCTCGGTGTCCCTACAGCTCAACCCCAAACCCATTTTTTGAATAACTCACCCCGAGTTCCTCCCGCTCCACATTCCCACTCCACATTCCCCCCTCCACATTCCCACTCCACATCCCCACCTCCACATTCCCACTCCACATCCCCACCTCCACTCCACATTCCCACCTCCACATTCCTGCTCCACATCCCCACCTCCATGACCACTCCACAATGAGTTTTAACCCTCGGGTGTCCCTCCAGCTCAACCCCAAACCCATTTATGGAACAGCCCACCCCGCAGCCGCGACCCCACACTCGGGGGCTCACCTGGAAGGCGTGGCTGGCGAATCCSAGCCCCAGCTGGCGGCACACCACCATGGCCTCCACGGTGCCCCAGCCCTGGCTGCACACCGTGCCCCAGCGCAGAGTCCCGTTACGCTCAGTCAGCACCTCCACGCGCCCCTCGAAGGGGCTGCGGCCCCCGCTCAGGCGAAGCTGCGGGACACAGAACCCACAAATCCATGGGAAATCCCCGAGGGATGGGGAAGAAGGTTTTGCTCCCCAAAAAATTTGGGTTTGGAGTTGTTGGATGTCCCCATCAAGTACCACCCGTGGAGGAAAATTCCCCCTTTTAGCGCTGGAGAAATCTTGGGGAGGGATTTTCTCAGAGGGATTTTCCTGAAGGATTTTCCCTGAGGGATTTTCCCTGAGGGATTTTCCCTGAGGGATTTTCCTGAGGGATTTCCCAGAGGGATTTCCCAGAGGGATTTCCCAGAGGGATTTTCTCAGAGGGATTTCCCAGAGGGATTTCCCCCTCAGTGAAGGGAATTCTGACCAAATTCCACAAAGGAATTCTGACAGGATTGGGAATGCGCGAGCTCATTCCAAACCCATCCCCAGGGAAAACGACTC